TTGGATTGGCAACTTTTATCAAAGAATGTATCTTGCTATCAGTAGTGTAATAGATCTTTCTTGCTTGTGTCATTATTCAGGCTTGCATTTCCAATTTTATGGAAAATTGGGAAATTACATTTCGTCAAGCTACACGTGAAACGCCAAACAGAAAAAAAAATAAAGTATGTTATTCGAGATGATGTTGAATTTAGGTTCGGTAAACGGATTTTCATCAAATATTTTCTATTTTTGATACAATGAGGAGAGTCATAAAGAATAAGCTACTTTGCTAGTGTCATATATTGGAAGATACAAACACTCTAAACTGGTTATAATAATTTTTAAAATAAAAATTTATTATATTTAACTATATGTAACAAAACTTCAATTAAAATCCCGGAGCACAAGTGTAACGAAAGTGACCAACTACGTATCGACTCTAATTTTGAGCGGGACAGCGGGACATTTTCATCATAGCGCGTAGACAATAAAAGTCCTTCGCTACGCTTCAGACTAATAATTGATGATCATAATTCGACCTTCATTCTGACCGAGATATCTTTTACTTATTTCACCTAAGTAGTTAAAAAAAAATTTAAGATCTTGAAGAAATCATAATAAAATACAAATATTCATACTAGATGTTACCTTTGATTATTGGTTTCGTTATATTGTGCCAAATCGTTCACAATTGATGCATAAGGAATACGTGAATCAACTCCTAAAGCATCAATAAGTTGCATGTTATAGGAGAAACTTCTTTAACGATCTCTGAATTAATGGTTGTACGTCACAGCAGTCGCAAGGTTTGCATTTGCATAAATTTGAATAAGGGTGCGTTGCCAGTAAAATCATGGATCATATGATTTACTATATCATGACTTTACAAAACAATTATATGGAAACGTTTCCAGTAAAATAAACACCTTGCGTGGGAAAAAATTCCAATAAGCTTCCAAACCTATTGATGCTTATCAACTACAATGTTTCGATATACAGATGCAGAAAAAAGTTAATCCGCGACTTTCAAAAATCGTCAAAATAGCAAATTAACTAAGATAATCATAAATTACGTACCCACGAAGATTTTTGCCATCGACGTCATAAAAATATATTAAAAGATTATGTATCGCGTAATGTTTTAGTTGAAGAAACTCCTGTTGTAAGTTATAATGCGACGTAAGACAACTTATATTTTTGAATTACAAATTGCCTAAAATGGTATAAATACATTTAGTAATGAATTGATCATTAAAAAAATGCTAATTACATCACATACCATTATTACTCCCATTTCTTCAATTATGACGCCATCTAAAGGTTTCATACTGTAAATAAATAATAAGATCAATCGGAAATGTAGAAATACCAAAAAAAAACATAAATTTCTTTTTCTCGCGAAATTTTCTAACAAGAATCGTATTCTTTCATCATTCTTAGCCGCAACAACCCATTTTGCATGAATAACAGACTAGTCTTAAATAGGAGTAAATTAATTATAAATTTTAAAAGTTGAAAAAAATTGAACATTTTTGAAAAACTTACGTTTGTGATCCAATATTTTGAGCTAACAATGTCGGTGTATTATTGATAAACTATGTCATAATCATCATATATAGCAGTACTTCCATTGCTCAGTTATAGCGAAGCATCAAGCAATGTGAAAATTGTTCACGCAAGGAATAATAAATCTATGATATTCAATTCCAAGTTTTCATTATAGATTGCTTTTATTTAATGAGTTTATAAAACACAATTTTATTAATATACAGCGTAAATACCTTTTTTATCTATCTCGTGCTGAGATAAAATTGCTATTTAATAAAAAATTTCCCAACAAAGATTTAGCGCTGAAACCTTATCGGAAAGTTTTGTGTAAAAAAAATTTATTTGTACTAAACTAACTGTAAATAGAAATAGAAAGGTGGGGTAAAACCAGGGACGATGATTTTCTGCGGTGATTAAGGATGAATATAAAAGTTAATTCTGTGAAATTCTGTGATTTGGCCAGAATTATGCAAGATCAGCCAACATTACGATTCGCAAATTCTGGCCAAACTTAATATCAGCCAGCATTACAATGATAAATCGGGCCAAAATTTTGAAAATTATCATCCATATTCTGTGAAATTCTGTGAAACACAGAAAATCATCGTCCCTGAAGATCTTTTAATTTAAATTAATAATGTTAATCCCAAAAAAACTTTACCAAAATCTATGTCGCTGAGGATTCTTTCAATATAGTCGAGAATGCGACCAACGTTTGTTGTCGAACAGTATTGTGCTTAATGGCGTCAAAGTTCTAACCTTCCGCGGATTCTTCAAAAAAATTGACATGGTTGAGAGACGTAAGTATAAATGTAATTTTAGCAATTCAAAACCTGATGAAAATTTTCTAAGATGTGTACGGATCAACATGCTGCGTCATGTACTAATCGACATTCTTTATCTTTACGAATACATCTTGATCATTATTTATGCTAGTAGAGAATATAAGCGAAACATCTAAAGAGAATTCGGAACTGTGAATGATCATGTTATTGAGGAATTATATGGGAGGCGGTCAATAGAAAAGGGGGAAATCTACAAATTTTGAGTAATTTTAGTTATTAAGCTAGTTTTGTTCACATGACCATGATCAGCAGAGTGAGCCAATAAAAAAATTTTTGACTAAAAAGTGGATTTCCCCCTTTTCTACTGACCGCCCCCCATATGGTAGTATTTATCGATGTAGGTTAGTATTATTCCATCTGTTGCTCTTTGATGTTATTTCCGAAGGAATGTTTACGATTATTATTTCAATTTGTAATTAGATACACTATATGCGGTATTATCCTGTGAGTAACATTCAGAGAAACGGTCATCAATTATTCTGTATATACTAATTTACATTTTTTATGAAAAAGGATTTGACAGGAACGGTGATTCTTTTTTTTTCTTCTTCGGACAATCACCATCACAACTGTTATATTAAACTACCGAGAGCAATCCCGGAACTCACACCATCGGTTTGATCAGATAAATACGAAAATGAAGCTAAATAACAAAGACGGGAGGCATGGTATTTATTATATGGACTATTGATAATTACATGCAAATGTATTTATCTTACTTATATTCAATATATTAAATCGTATTATTTTATTATTATTTCCAATTGACTTTTATTTTTACAGGAAATCAGTAGAATGAGGGCGTGTTTAATTTTAAAAGATAAGCGCAAATTATGTTCCTGGTATGATTGGCGATAGATGGTATAATATTAGTACGATATTTATTTTCTATATTAGTTAAATATGTTGGGAAAATTCGTATAAAATTTCCATTACCACTTTATTGAAAATGTTATTAAAACTTCATATTTTGTCATATCTGTTAGGAAAGGTGGATTTGAAACAAGATTTAAGAGGGGCATTCAAGCATGTGAATATGCCGTTCTTTGATGGTTGACTTCCAAATTATGAGGACGAGCATTGAGATTGTTCCTGAATTAGTATTTGAAGAAGCTAATGAATCCACGATTCCCTTACTTTGAAATTATGACTTTTAGAAGAATTTGACATTTCAATCATGTTTGGTAGTTATTGAACTGCTAGAGAAGCATCAAGCGTTAAGGGTCATCCTGAGAAGGATCGTTCGTTGAGGGTTCAAGGTAGCCAAGCCGAAGCTTTATCAAATGCCCAACTATTAAGTCACTCCAAAAATATTATTGAACTTTGAAAAATAAAATCATGAGAGTCTTTGAATTCAACAGAGACAAATTAAATACAGATACTCACCTCCTGAAGGAAATTGCTAATCATACTCATATGAAGAAAATATCAAGATAGCGTGTCGAGGCCAAGTGGGATTTAGATATCTCTTGTGTTAATGGGATGTTGTTAGAGAACTTTCGGAGTGGTTCTCCTGAAACTTTTTGAGTTTATTCATTACAACACGTGTATGGTAAGTATTTATTTTTTTAATAATTTTTATTTTAAATTATTGCATTTTATAGAGTATAGCGTTGAGCTGAGGCAGGTACATTATCCAGCCTGCAGTGTTTTTTTGTCCTTCTTTGGGATCTCAAGGTTCAGTATGATTGATGATTTACTTGAGATCTTTGTACCAGTATCTTTAGAAAAGTAATTTTTGTTTTAATAATAGTAAAGAATTGCCGATATGTTTTTGGAATCGCGAAGGAGCAACAATTTCAGGAACATTTTGAAAATTTTTTTCTACCAAATATTAAAATTTATCAAAATCTAACTCAATGCGATGGTTCTCAGCTCGGATTATCGATCATCCGATTGACGAGGAATGAATTTTGGCTTTAAACAAAATTTGATTACATATAAATTTAGTTATAGACGTACAGTAATCGTTCTTTTCAGAACGTTAAGTATTTCGTTTAATTTGTATAATTTGATCTTTATTTTCTAACAAATTAACATTTTATTACAGAAAGAAAGAGGTAACAGTATTAATAAGATGCATTTTTATTTTTTTGCGTTGGTATTTTTAAAATATATCAAGGAGTTTTATTTTGATATACAAAGCAAATTTGATTTTTTTTTAGAAAGGTATTTAAAATAATAAATTGTAATATTGAAGACAAAGCACAAATTTTTAAATTTTTTATGTCACGAATGACATTGTCCAATTTAAAAAATAAAAATTCCACATGATTTCATATCCGGTGAATTGTTGCGCATTAAAAATTGCATAAAAGCACAAACTTGTAGAAATTTAACGAACTCTTTAATATTTATAATTGACGGTTAATAATGTCCAGAATATCAGCTTTTTTATGCAGTTTGACCTTAGGAGCATTATTAGTTTCTTCTCCATGTACCGTAAAGCACTGCTAATCTACCCCCCCCCCCCCCAAGGTTTAGACTAAAAATTTGTAAAAACCCGGGTAGTATACATAGGCGATTTTTTTTTTTTAACGGAATTAATAAATTTTAAAAAAAATATATATAAAACAAATCAAAAAAAAAATTATTTTATTTATTTAAAACAAATTAAAAATCATTTCAATTATTGTATTCAATTTCATTGTCATCATTGCCTTCATTGCCTTCATTATTACTATTTTTCATCTGATTCATTTTCTTTGTATTTATCTGCTATAAGATCATCATAATCAAAAATCATATCATCTTCTACATCATCAGTTTTAACTGAAATACCACAACATTTAAATGATTTATAAATCAAATTTGAATCAACCTTTTCCCATGCAGTTTTTACCTATGAAGATACCAAAGAATATGATGGGTTTTTAATCCGCCCAGCTGGAGTTAATTTATGAACTTCATTTGTCATCCAATCATTATAAAGTTTGCGAACCTATTAAAAAAATAATTTTAATTTGTGTTATAATAAATATAATTAATGATAATAAATGATTATAACTGATACTTACATTGGATTGAAAACCTTTATTGACTGCTATATCAAGTACATCAAGAGGTTGTGGAATTACTGCCATATTTGTATGAAACTCATCTAATTTTTGTTTAACAGAATCTAAAATAAGAAGATCTTAGATTTATTAATGTTCAAAAGACTTTTTGACCAAATATTATCAATCTACCAAATTATTTCTCCTTCATTTACCCAGCCTTTTTCATTAGTTCTAATGAATACACCATCAGAAAACTCTTCTCTAGGTTTGTTTTTCAATTTAAAAATAATAACAAAAGGTAGTTTTGATCCATTAGCCATATAACCTAACATAACTGTAAATGTAGTTCTTTCATGTTCTGTAGTTTTAATACTAATTATATTAGAATCACTCTTTTTTAAAGTATAAGAATTAGGTAAATCAAAAGAAACAGGAGTTTCATCTATGTTTGCAATAAATTGGAGGGGATAATTATATTATATTTTTCTATAAAAAATAAAGCTTAAAAAACTCTATTATTTTTTAAGCAAATTCTCTGGTAAGTATTGAGTTACAATTGTTTTTCACCTATTTGAAAGATCATGATGAACTATAAAATCCATCAACTTTTTTAGTAAACTTTATATATGACAATTAGTAATTCATTCTGCTAAGTCTTGTTCTAACTCTAGAAAAAATGGTTATCTATCACATTGCTTATCTTAGATTTAGCAAAATATCTATACTATAGTTTTGCTATTTTTTACTAAAGTTTTAATATAGTTTCGCATTTTTATAAGCTTTAATATAGTTTTACCTTTTTCAGAATTTCACAGATTTTTTAATAAGATTTTAATATAATTTCACTAAATTTTACCTTTTCCATTTAGACGACTTGCAAAACCTTTAGGTTTCATTTAGCAACCTTATTTATTACTATGTAACTTTAGTAAATAAGATGCTAAAGCTTTCAGTTAATCCTTTTTTTTTAATTCTAAACTTGACTTGGTTTTAAATCAAAATGTTTTGCTATTTTACAAAAATTATTTAAATATTATAAATATTGCAAAACCATTAATTTTTCATGTATACACTATTGTCTTCTTTTTTTTAAGTAACTCTAGAATGTTTAAACTTTTGATTGCCTATGATAACCATTTTGAAAAAAAATTATAAAATATGATATAAGTAAAACATAATACAAATGCACTAAATTTTGTGGCTATTACAATTTACATTGATCTATATATTACATATAATTACCTTTTAAAAATCCATTCTATTAAAGTATACTCTAATTAAACTATCCAGGTATTTTTACAAATTTAAGGTAAATTTATAAAAAACCTAAGATAAATTAGTCAGTATTTTACGGTAATTCTTCTTTGTATATCATTATTTTTTCTAAAATATGATTTTGAATTTTTTGTTGTTCTAGCCTTTGAATTGATATATTAACCATTATGTTTTAATATATAGAACTTTTATTATTCTTTGCAGAAATTTTAATGGATAAAGGTTAGTATTTTAGGTTACATTTTGATTGTATTAAATTGGTATGAAATAGAAGAGTCAAATTTCAATTATTTATGTAAAAAAAGAAGGATTAAATGTTAAAATAATTTTTTATTTATTAAACTAAAAAATTGCATCACTCTTTTTTTTGGTTATTTATTTTTTTGCATAATGTTTTATCCTAGTGATGATGATCTTTGATGATAAAATTCTGCATATTTTATTATATTATAATTTTTGCTCATTTTAACAAAAACAAAAATAAATTTTTATTAGTTTATTATTCCAAAAAAAAATTAATTACCATTAAAATACATCATATTGAATTATTTTAAAAAATCTTCTAAAAGATTTTGGTGATTATTATCTAAAATATTATTATAAATTAAGATACTTTTTTCTATATTACAACTAGATACAAGTAATCAAATATAATTAAGTGCAATTTTTTGAAAGAATTGGTAATTTATCTTTAAGATTCATCTAATATTTTTTTAAATCAATTTTTTCAACTAAATTTTCTAATTGCAATTCACAATAAATTGCCTATTCATAAAGTAATTCATCAGAAGAATTTGCTAATTCTCTAATAATACTATAATAACATAAATTTTTTTCAAAGTACTAAGTAATTTATATTTAGATCAAAAATTTTCTAAAAATGCAATAAGCATTTCTCTATAAAAGAAAATGAATTTATTTATGTTTGAAAAAATCAGTACTTTATATAAATTATTTTACATATATAAAAATATAATTGAAATAATACTAACATTATAGGAATTATAAAGAATTAAAAAATATTTTAAAAAGTTACATTATTTAGATCATTAATTAATTCATTTTAAAAAAGGAATTCTAATATAATAAATGTGTTTTAGTATAATCTCATATTTTAAACCATAAGTTTTAACATGTAAAAATAAAAAAAACATTTTATCAGAAAAATAGTAGGATAAAAATAGGATTTCTAAAGTTAGAATTTGAAAAGATATTCAGAAAAAGTTTCTAATTATAATCTGACTTTATTTCTATTAAGATGTTTAAATTAATCTAAATCTTTTCCTACTATTTAATATTTTAGTATTAAACTTAGCATAACATTATTCCACTGAATACTAAGAATTATATCATCTCTTATAATCTTTTTAATCTAAATTTAATCCTTTTTAATATATTAAAAAATTTATATCATATTGCTTACCATTAGGAGTAACATTAAATATAGCTGAATAAAATAAGTTTATATTCAATATTATAATATATGTAAGCCTAAAATATATACTATTATTTTGTAATATTCTAGAACTAATTTTAAAGGCAATTTATTAAAAAATATTTAAAGCATTAAGTTTTATCTAAAGTTCTGAATAGTTCAGATTAATCTGAAAATTTTTAATTAGATCAACTTTAGTTTAGTTTTGGATTGTAAAAAAATCAATCCAAAAATTTTTAGTTTAAATCAGATTTTTTTCAGATTATAAATCTAATCTGAATTGAAAAAAATCTGATTTGAACTGAAAATTTTAGATTAATCTAAAATTTCAGATAATTCATTTTAGACAAATAATAAGAAATTATTTATTTAGAATAATAATAATATTTTAAACTAATGATAAAAAAATCGTTCATTTATAATAATTAAAATTATCATTCTAAATAAACAATAGGAAAATCATTCATTTAAAATGATTAAAATTATTATTCTAAATAAATAATTTTCTTATTGGATATTTGAAATGATATTATTATCATTCTAAATAAAAGATTTTTTTATCACTTTTCTAAAATGATTAATATTTTTATTCTAAATAAAGGATTTTCTTATCATTTATTTAGAACATTATTATTATCATTCAGTTGAAATAAACTATCTAAAATTTTAAATTAATCCAAAATTTTCAATTTAGTTTAAATTTTTATCAGTTTACAGAAATGATAATATAAGTCCTTATAGAATAAATAATTTTATACTACTATATCAAAATAAATCAAATGAAATTGCAAATAATTCTCTAATGAATATTTTATTTTTAAATTTTTATTGTTTTTAACTTTTTTAAAAGGTTATATATTTTGTAATAGCTTTCTTTATAAATAAAAAAAAGTGAAATACTAGAGATTTACTTTCTTTGTCTTAAGATAAGAAAGAATAAAAATTTTTTATAAGTATTTTTATAGAAATATAAATAAATAAAGTTAAAAGAATTTGTAAGAGTAAAAATTAGAAAAATATATTTTACATAGTAGTTACTTTACATTATAGTAGACTTTTATAGAATTTTATGATTAGTAATTAAAATTAATAATCAGTATAGATCATTTTGATTTGTAATTTTGATTTGTAATGTTAGATTTATAATTTTAAAGATCTTAGATTTTGATTATTAATTAAAGTAATATATTAGCATAGAATATTATAGAAAAAAATAATTATAATTTTTAATTAGTAAATAGAAACAATTTTATTTTTAATTTATAATTTGTAATATATAATATTTGTTAAATAATTTTTAAGTATAAATATCTTGTAAATTTATTATATAAAAATCAGATTACAGTTTCTAAGAAAAAATGAAATAATTAAATAAAATTATGAAAATGAAATATTATTTTAATAAATATGAATATTTCTTTTCTTAATGATAACTTTTTTTAATTTATATTTATTTAAACATTTTTTATAAAATTTATTGTATCTTTTGACTACCTTCATAAAAATCTTACAAAGATAAAATATTTTAACAATAATAAAAATAATAAATAAAATATTAAGTCATTTATGATCTCAAATACTTAACATTTTTATTTATTATCTTACAGATTTTTGATGCTGATAATATATAAATTATATTATATAATTAGCTAAATTGTATTATATAAACATAATAATAACTATTATATTTTATTGTATGATAATATAAAAATTTAAAAAAGTATATAATAAATTATGGTTAGTTGAAATACTTTTATATATTTTATAAAGAAAGTTTATCTATAGACTTTTATTTTTAGAAACTTATTTCTAATTAATATAATAAATATAAACACTTTTTAATAAAAAGGAAAAAAATTTTTTTACTTTATAAGCTAAATATTATTTTTAAGTAAAATAAGTTCAGATTTAATATTAATTCAAAAAAAAAATTTTTTTGATAGTTTCAGCCTTTTCTATTGTAAAGAACTTATATATAAATAAATTATCATATTATTTGATCTTGAATTAAAATTAGGTAATATAATGTATAATAAAACAAATTATATAAATCAATAAATTTAATATTTTTAATATATAAAATATTATTTTATATATATTATTTAATTTTTAAAATATTATATTATGATTTATTTGAAAATAAAAAATTTTATTTTAAAAGTTAAAATAAATAACAATTAATCTTATTTTATATTTAACTTAATATATAAAAATATTTATAATATTATTATAAAAAGGTTTAAAATACTAAAGATATAAATATTAGATTTTTTTTTTTTTTTTTTTTTTTTAAGTTGCCGTACCGGTACAAGGGGTCAAACGGGTATTTAACGTGGCCAACCATCTCC